TGGCAACGCTGTACAGCCTAAACGAGGTTTCACTTCAAGTTGAAACTTTTCCTGAAAGTTTGCCTTACTATAAGCTTTCGTTTGAGCCTTGCCTCGTTGACCAACTCGGGTATACTAGTCTGTTGAACCATGATGATTCAGTATTTCGTGAGTATAGCGCATAACAATGGAAAATTGGCAACGCTGTACAGCCTAAACGAGGTTTCACTTCAAGTTGAAACTTTTCCTGGAAAGTTGCCTTACCATAAGCTTTCGTTTGAGCCTTGTCTCGTTGATCAACTCGGGTATAATAGTCTGTTGAACCATGATAATTCAGTATTTCGTGAGTTTAGCGCATAAAAATGGAAAATTGGCGACGCTGTACAGCCTAAACGAGGTTTCACTTCAAGTTGAAACTTTTCCTGGAAGTTTGCCTTACCATAAGCTTTTGTTTGAGCCCTGTCTCGTTGACCAACTCGGGTATAATAGTCTAATGAACCATGATGATTCAGTATTTCGTGAGTTTAGCGCATAACAATGGAAAATTGGCGACGCTGTACAGCCTAAACGAGGTTTCACTTCAAGTTGAAACTTTTCCTGGAAGTTTGCCTTACCATAAGCTTTCGTTTGAGCCTTGTCTCGTTGACCAACTCGGGTATAATAGTCTGTTGAACCATGATGATTCAGTATTTCGTGAGTTTAGCGTATCGAAATGGAAAATTGGCAACGCTGTACAGCCTAAACGAGGTTTTACTTCAAGTTGAAACTTTTCCTGGAAGTTTGCCTTACCATAAGCTTTCGTTTGAGCCCTGTCCCGTTGACCAACTTGGGTATAATAGTCTACTTATGCACCGGACTAATAGTCCAATATCCTTGATTTTAGCGCATAAAAATGGAAAATCTGCAACGCTGTACAGCTTAAACCAGGGGTCACTTCAAGTTGAAACTTTGCATGGAAGTTTGCCTTACCATAGGCTTTCATTTGAGCGCTGTCCGGTTGACCAACTCGGGTATAAAAAAAGGGGCTAAAAAACACCACTTTTTGGCGAGGCTCTTTGTAGTAGGATTTTTTTTTTTTTTTTTCATCTCCTGAAAAAAAAGATTTTCCACCCGTCGGCCAGGATATGGGTTCTTTTTGCGAAGCGACGCGACGGCTAGGACCTCCGCGGCGCCCGACGACGACGACGACGCGTGCCGAGTCCTCCGGGGGGCGGCGATGCTGGCTCCGGCGGCTTTTCCATTCGGCGGCGTCCGCCCCGTCTCGGGGCTCACCGCCCACCGCGGCGCGGCCGCGACCCGAGTCCTTCCCGCCAGTTTTGCCCGCCGCCGCGCCTACGCTAATCCTCCCGGAACACGCGGCTCCGCGCGATTTTCCCACGCCGCGGAAATCGCGTCAAGTGCCGTCGCTCCTCCTCCCTCGGATCTCGCGGTCTCCGTCGCGGTCGGCCTCCGGACGAATTTTCCACGGTGGTTCTTCTCGTGGCGGCCCTCGTGTGCCCACCGGTGGATTTTTTGTGGTATTTTGACGCTCGGGGCGTTCCGGCTGTGGTGTCAGTGATCTCGCGAAGGTTCGAAAATCCCGTGTGCTGCCCTCGCCCAGGAGTCGAAGTTACGGAATCGTCGGAGCCTGGAAGGGAATTTACCGGAAAGGTAAAAAGCTTTTCAACCGATTCAAAGTAGATGTTTCTTAGGGGTTTTCAGGCTTTCACCACCTACTCAACAGTGAAAACGAAAGAATCCTCAATTTGCCGCCGAGGAGTATTTTTTCTTAAATCCGGACTTTTATGCATAGTATAAGCCATACGTCTCTGCTTATCCCAAGCATTATTTTTCTTGTATCAAGAAAAATTCAGCTGAAGGCAAGATTAACCGATTCTTGGTGGCAAATTCAAGAATCATCACGTTTGAGCCAAGCACCTTTTTTTTCAGTGATAAACCTCTCCTCTAAAGGAATCTCGAGATCATTTTCTGCCTCCTTTTTAAATATTGCAGGTAGTACTCACTGACTGATTCAATTTGAAAATCAAAGTGTAATACGGAGACTTGTTCCTGATAGAAGCGGGTGATCGCAATGGATGAAGAACAAATAGGGTCCAACATTTGGAAAATGCGTTTCGTGAACTCCATGATTAAAGGACATGATTTTTTAAAATTCTAAACTTTCTTTCTTCAGATGCTAATGTAAACCCATTATGATCCTATGAAATTTGTGTGTGAAAGAAAATCTTGGTGCCCAATCCATCTACGATTATACAATTACAGCCTCTAAACGGCTTATGGATCTAGAGCAATAATTATCTGGGGGAAAAAACTGAACAGGAACTTGAATTAATCGTCTAATATAATGAACGCTATTTTTCTGCAATGTAACACAAATTATCCTTTAAATTTTTTCTTTAATATATGTCATAGTTCCGTTTATTTAACAAGATTTAAATTTTTTTTAAATGAGACACAGATTAATTCATTTCTTAAACACTATTGACAACAGATTATCAGAAGTCATCGTTCCCCAGACGAAGGAACGCAACTACACTTGGATTTCATTTTGCAATGAGGAACCACTATTTCTGGCCCATTTTAGAAACATCATACATGCTGTTTATTGGTTTCCTCATGCAGATATGTGCTTTCATGGGAGAACCAGAGATAGTGGTTCCTTATTGCAAAAAAGAACGTTGCGTAAACTTTCCATTTTTTCCCTCGTAAATAAGAGAGCATTTTTAATGTTAATTTCACTGATTTTTCAATTGATTATCGTAACAAATCAGTTTTTTTCGGACCGAGGTCACGCCACTCTTTTCGTGTGATAATCGAAGAATCGCGTCAGTAGTTCTAACAACCGCGGAATGGTGATATGTTTTTACCTGTGGGAAACGCCCTGACTGTTCAAAGATGATTAACGCTGCAATTATTATTCCAACGTAACAGTAAAGACAGCAGTGACGGTCGTGACATTTAAAGCAATGACAGCTGAGAATGTAGCGCAATATATTGACCTACTCATACTTTCAACTACCAGAATTTGTTTTATAAGCAATTTTCCACTATGTAACGGTTGAAGTTTTAAATTTCATACTACACTATTTACAAATTTCAGTTTCATGATGAAACTTCGACAGTTTTTGTAGAATTGCCTCTTTTTGTATTTTAATTTAGGCACTCATCATAAAATATACCGAATTACTTACCAACTCTGAAGATGTCTGTGGTAGAGATCTATGTAGCACCCGTTGCAGTTTGGTTTTTCTGTAAACTTCGACAATCCTGCTGATTCTATCCACGCCATTACTCTTTCTACTCTTCGGCCTGATGTATTCCAGCATTTTGTCCTTTCAATTATTCACACTAAGTAGGTTAGTGCCTAAAAAAAATGTATTTTGTTGATTTTTTCTTTTTCATCGGGGTTCATGACAATTTTGGAATTTTTACTTGCGTGTTATTCCTGATCCTCTAGTTTTGTCCCATCTTTTATTATTGGACGATAACCATTTCGGGAGTTATTTTTCCTATCTACAGGTCCTTCGTTTCTTTTTGATCACTTCTTGCAAGGTTATTTTGTGTTCATGCTTCATTCCTAGTTTTTTCGAGCCGCGATGAGTTGTGTCGAGGGAATAAAATAAGGTAAAACAAAGATTATCACTCAATATTTTGAACCTGGAGATAAGTTTTTCGGGTTTTCGCGATGATTCACTGCTGTTATTCTTGATGATTTTCGTGTTATCGTATTTTATTTTCTGGAAACCTGAAGATGGGGCAAACATCTCTCGAATTGATCATCATTACTTTCTAATAATTAGAATTTCTCCGATAATAGTTTTCTTTATTTATTCGACTGTATTTTTTTCTCTGTTCTACTGTGATTTCCTTGGTTCTCTACTGTGTTTTTCCTAAATCTCTGAGTCAGAAATCTGAAGCACTTCGGTATGCACCGAGTACTTCAGATGTGTGACCTGAAACCTTCGGTATATACCGAACTACTTCAATTGTCTGACCCGAACTTCGGCAGATGGACCTTAACTTTTCGGATGCGTGATCCGAAAACTTCAGAGATCCATATGATCTCAGCTTCGGGTTCCATGCACAAATTGTTTTCTCCGTGTTTCCTTTTAGGGGACGCAACTAAAATTTCAGTAAATTTTTTTCAGAAAAGTAAAGAAAAAAAAAAAGAAAAAAAGTGGCTAACGATGGTTCCTCACCTTCACGTGGTGTTGGCTGTTTTCACTAAGTGGGAACCGTCCATTTTAAGATATAGTCTATTTCTTGCCCTGCCATTATTATTCTACAAGTTAATTGTGGAGTGAGAATTTCATAATGTTTTCTATGAAATCTTCAAAATATAGTGATAAAAAATGTGCAACTACTACAAAATCGGCTCGCGAAGCGAGCCGAATGTCACTCGCGTAGCGAGTGACCGGGGGTCCAGGGGGCTTAGCCCCCAGCTAGGCGTGACGGGCGCGCGAAGCGCGCCCAGAACGGCTAGTAAAATCAAATAGCTCATTTCCTCTGACTAGGATAGAGCTAATAAGCTAATTTGAGCTAATAAACTAATATCAATAACTTATTGAATCTGTAGAGCTATTTATGACTCATTAGTTCGTTAGTTTTGCACATATTTTAATACATTTTAAGTGTATCATTAAAATAGCTACTTCAAAGCATTCACTACCGATGTAGAGACCAGATAAATTTTTATCATAAAAAGAATAATAATTCGAAAGTTGTGACATTTCCCGTTACACTTGCTCAAAGTCTTAGACTTTTCCCACTTTTTTCTCAGTGGTTATTTCGTTGAACTTGAGGTTTTCAATCCGAATGCCCCCACAGAAATGAGATCTTAGTATCGCATTTTTACGTGTGCTCTTTCCTCTTAAATATTTTCACTGCTTCGGTTGAAATGACGAGGAACTCAAATTATTCAATAAATTTTTTAATATTAATAGAATGTATAACCTAAACTAGTCCTGCGAAACTAGTCCTAACTGTCCTGTGAAAGGTTGGCGACAAGGGGTAGAGGAGGAGATTAGAAGGTGCCAATTGCCTGATGATCTCTGGGAGGATAGGGGGCAATGGCGATTGGGCGTCGCAGAGCGCGAGGCGGCGCTGTGAAAGCGACTCAATGTATGTATAACCTAAACTAAAACTTTCATGTAAGGATGAATTTCTAAACCTGCCTATGGTGATCCACTTCTGTTAAGACGATTTAGCATACAACAGCGTATCTATCAAGAGCGAAGATAGAGCAGTCACATTGCCCCCAGAGTGCCCTTTGCCCCCCCCCCCCCGTAATTTTTTTTTAGCTACACTATAATGATGTGTACCACGATGACCCGGTCAATTTCCAGAGACTTGACAACCTTCGGGCCGTGCTGCTCGCAGAGCTAATACCCCTGGGCGCCGGGCGCTCCCTATTTATGCAACACGTTTTACATAAAACGTGGAAATTAGTTCCGATTGCTTCTTCAGTTGCTGCGAGAATGACGACTGCTGTGGGTGTGTAAACACGGGGCCTGTTGCCAAGTCATCGGGAGAAAATTTCCGAAAAAATCCCTTTGTAAAATAAGTTAATTTTCTCTTTTCCAAAATTACCAACTATAGTCTAAATGCTGGATTAACCTTTTCCACCGTAACAAATATTTATGACGTCAGGTCATTTGCATTCATCAAAAACTTAACGTACCGTATTTCAGCGATACGTGACTCGGAAAAAGAAGATCCTATATATTAAAATGCAAAGTTCCGAATCTTGGGGCATTAACTTTGAGAGAACCATCGGACCGATTTGCGTGATCTTTTTTTTAAATGAAAGCCCCTGAGCTGTAGATTTGCAGGCTGTGATCGTTTTTTCGATTATCTCAAATTTTCTCCCATAATTTTCTCAAATTTTCTTCGATGCATTAAAACGGAGGTCCGAATCTTTGGACGTTAACTTTGAGAGAACCACCGGATCGATTTGCATGATTTTTGTTTTAAATGAAAGCCTATGATCTGTAGATTTGCAGGCTGTGATTGTTTTTTCGATTTTCTCAAATTGTCTTACTTTTATCGACGAGTGAAGTTTAGCCGGGCTCAAATTTTCTCCCATTTATTCAGACTAAAGTCCGCATGTTGGGACATTAACTTTGAGAGAACCACCGGACCGATTTGCATGGGGTTTTTTCTAAATGAAAGCTTCTGATCTGTAGATTTGCAGGCTGTAATTGTTTTTTCGATTTTCTCAAATTTTCTTACTTTTATCGACGAGTAAAGTTCAGCTGTTTCGAGCGGTCATCTGGCCGCTACCTGCTTGCCCGTCCCTAGATACCCCCTCTAGGGTCTCAGCCACCCCTCCCACCACGTTCTTTCGGCTATCTCCGTTTTCTTTCGTATAGCTTTCCTCCCACCAACCTCAAAGAAGGTTTGGGTCGCATTGTCGTTGGTCACTCACCACCCACATTCCGTCGCAATCTCTCGGCTACTCCGCTTCACCACTTCTTGATAGGCATCCTGGCGGTTTGACTGACCCTGACTTATTAACTGCAGCGTTGCGCACACGTATTGCTAACAACATGTATTGTTATGGACATTTCATTCTTATTTGTTCTTTTCTCTTTACAACTTTGTTTCAAATTTGCTTGATACTTCGTTTCTTCCTCTCTCTTTATTTTGTTGGTCGGCCGACTACGTTGATCGGCTTTTTGCTGTTGAAAACACGTTAAGACTTCATGGAATTTCAATATCATCATTATTGATCTTCCGGAATTGCTTCCAATCAACCTGAATCTTCAAGGGTCGAAGCCTGACTCTCCTCCCCCTAAAACTATGATTCCATGATTCCTGCCGTTAACCCAGAGCAACATCAAATTATTTCTGAAATAATTAATCTCATCCAAAATCCATCTTACACGTGTAATGCGATTTTCATTGATGGTCCAGGAGGATCGGGAAAAACTTTCGTTTAAGAATGTCTTACTGCGTATTGTACAGAGGAAAACTTAGACGTCATCTCCGTTGCTTGGACAGGTATCGCCGCATCGTTGCTACCTAACGGTCGGCCGGTTCATAGCAAATTCAAAATTCCTTCGGTTCTGAATGAGAATTCTGTGTCGAGTCTGACGGTTAGCTCAAGAGAGGCTGAGACTATTCGAAAAACAACGATCATTTTTTGGGGTGAAGCTCCCATGGTTATCACGCATGCTCTGGCATGCATCGACCGACTTCTTAGAGAATGGGTAATGATATCCCTTTTCGAGGAAAAATTGTCGTCTAGGGTGGTGATTTTAGACAGGTTTTACCCGTTGTTCCGCATGCTTCTCGCCAAACATTGGTGCAAAATGCAATCAAATTCTCACCACTTTGACCTCTTTTCAAAATCAGAAAACTTACTCAAAATATGAGAACTTTGCAAGACGAAGCGGAGTTTGCAAAATTTTAACTCGAAATAGGTGATGGTGTTTACCTTTCTGCTAAAAAAGGCCATGCCGGAATTCATTGATTTACCGACAAGCAGTACCTATTACTGAAAGGAATTGATATTATTACTGAAATTTATGGAAAATATAGCTTCCTCATGTTGGAACGTAGATTTCACAAACTGCGCAATTCTGGCCCCTAAAAATAAGCATTGCAATGAAATTAACGACAAGGTTGTTGAAGTTCTTTCAGGTGTCTCTAAAACGTACTTCAGTGTTAACAGGCTCATTGTAGAGGAAGAGGGAGAGGCTCTCAATTTTCCCCTCGAATTCTTGGACAGTCTTAATCTTAGTGGCTTACCACCGCATAAACTCACACTTTTGGAGGGGGTTTTTGTCATGCTTTTAAGAAACCTCAACGTTTCTAAAGGTTTATCGAATGGTACCCGATTGATCGTCTGGAAACGTTATGAAAATTGTCTTGATTTGCAGGTCATTTCCGGCGAGAAGGCCGGTGAAAGAATTTCACTGCCAAGAATTGATTTGTCACCTGCAGACTCCTCTCTCCCTTTCTCTTTTAAGAGGCGACAATTTCCAATTCGCATTGCGTTCTGCATGACCATCATCAAAGCTAAGGGTCAAACACTGAAGCGAGTCAGCATTTATTTACCCCAAACAGTTTTTGGCCATGGTCAACTATATGTTGCACTCTCACGAGCTACATCGTACAAAAATTTTGAAGTCCAAATTCTTCCCAAAGGCAACCGTATACGAAAAACATCGTGCACAAAGAGGTGCTTCGATCTTTTATAAATCCCAAAAGCCTCATAGTCATTAGAAAATTATCAAAAAATAAAAATAAAAAATAATAAAAAATAACACAAAAAAAGGAAAACTAATAATGCGAGCTTTTTATAACATTTTTCGGTAGAATGGCAGTCTCCACCCTGTAACGCAGAGAGGCAGTTAAATTCCTTGATCTTCTGCCGCAGAATCATCATCATTATTAAATAGATTCAACTAATCGCTCCCATTCCAAATAAGCTACCGCACCACTATTGCTAGCTGTGGAGGGCGCCCGGAGCAGCTAGTTTTATTTATGAATTCATATCCCATTTATGAGGCGCTTTATGAACTCCAGAGTGAGATATACACCGAGTTTCACTGTAAGATTATTAACGGTGCAAAATTATTCCTAAAACGCGTTGAAACATTTTAAATATTTAATTTTTAAGATTACTAAACGATATAGCTGTACATAAGAAAAACTATAAAAATGCATGAGGAAAGTAGGATTGGAAAATAAAGTGCCTTCCATTAAATTAGTAGACCGAAGTAATTCGCAATAGGGCGGTGCTGGTCGGCATCCAAATGAAATGACTTTAAAAAGAAAAAAATATTTTTACTTTAATACTTATGAGCTAACATGTATATTTTTTATCTGTACACCTATGCATGAACATACATGCTTCCAAGAAAATCTAATTACAAAACAAGATCATGTGAAGTCCAAATTGCGCGTCTCAGGATAGGTCACACCTTTTTCACTCACAATCATATAATCTCCAAAGAAAATCAACCCATCTGTCACTTCTGTAACTTATCACCTCTAACCATCAAACACGTGCTTATGGACTGCTCTGCCCTCAGATATCTCCAATCACAGATCTACTCCACTATAATCAACAGAAATACAAACCCTCTTACATGCGATGAACCCAATATTACTCCCAAAATTCTGAAACTCTTCACCTCTCTCAATTTAAAAATCTAAATTTTCGTATATACTCTCATTTTCAAAATTCTCTGTAAAGCCGTTAATAGCCTGAGACGCTGAATGTCTTAAAATTATACTAACTATCTACCAAAATTCTGAAACTCTTCACCTCTCTTAATTTAAAAATCTAAACTTTCGTACATACTCCCATTTTCAAAATTCTCTGTAAAGACGTTAATAGCCTGTGATGCTGAATGTCTTAAAATATACTAACTAACTAACTATTAAAAAAAAAAAAAAAAATCTAACCGAACCTATTTCCTTCTTTTTTCGCACCTTATTCTGTCCATAAAACCCACCTCAACTGAGCACACCCGAATCATCCTGCCAATATCTATGTAGAATATCTCCGTGATTGCAGGACCCCCGCGCTCCCCTGGGGGGCAGGGGGGGCGCTCGGTCGCGGGTATTGTTCGCTGCCGGGCGCGTGCGGGCGGGCGGCGCGGCGCGTCGCGGCTGCGGTAGGCGAACCAGTTTTCAAGTACAGAACGTAGGAGGATGGTGAAGCGCGGAGGAGGCCAAGTCCCCAGGGGCGGGGGGCAGGGGGGCCGGCTGGCTGGTTGTGCAGAAACGCCAGGAGCCCGGCAAACAGTTTCAGTCAGCGCAACCATTCAGACGTGTGTGAATACCGCGGATTCCGCGGCCGACGTGCCGATGTTAACGAGTTAAACGTGCCTTAATTTATTTTAATTTATTGTGAAAGATTTTATTTATTTATTCCGATTCCGCCCCCGGTGTAGTTGTTTTTATATTTTTAACTATAAAAATTGGAAAGTGATTATCGAAAGTGAAGGATGTACTATTGTTGGCAGTGTTTGCTTACGTTACGCGCTGTGCGGTCAACCGGTTGCGAAGTTTGACTTTAGAGAAAAACGGACTTTTTGTAAGTACATCAGCATTTGACGTTGTTATAATGGGGCCGCATGGGTCATTAAGGACTTAACTTATTTAGGACTTTAACTTATAAAGGACTTCTACCTAGTGTTAATGAAATAGAAAAAGATCCCCGAAGGAACGGTGAAACAGCAATTCTTGGCTGAAGAGCAGTTTTTCGCATGGATTAAGATAGTATCTTTTCAACTGTGACCTGAAATGTCTCATGTAATTTAATTTACCAAGTAATAGATGTGCGTAAATTTTCACGATGTTATAAGAGCTCTGTAATAGTAGCGTAGCTAGGACTCCTTTAAAGGGGGGGGGGGTCAATTCAAAAACGTGACGTTAAATTTACATTATTTTGTACGTCCTGATAATATTCTATGACTACCCTCCAAAAGTAAGAAAAACTTACAATTAACGAGGCTAAGAGGGAAGGGGTCCAGACCCCTTGGATCCTCCCCCTCCCCCTTGTCTACTGGTCCCCAGGATTTACTGGTCTGTAAATCCCTGGTTTTCCGACAAATATGCATGTGCCTCCTCTTCTCAAAAATGACTAATTTTATGCATTGAATATTTTGCAATATTTTTTCGGATCTGTAATTTTTGAAATATTGTTGAAACATGTCACGGTTTTTCACATCAAAATTATAGGGATGAGTTTGTTTCCGAGGTGACTATGATATTAAAACGAGACATTTTATCTGAAGGAAAGTCGAGGGCCACGAGTGGCGAACCGGAGGGATTGCTCGCATAAAATCTCTAAAAAGAACACATACTTAAATTTATACTATCCACAGATACCTACATTGTGAAAATCATAAAAAAAATATCGTTCAAAATCCTTATTTTACGCTCCGGCGAACACATTTACCAAATAAAATCAATAGATGAAACACCGATCGATACAATCGATAGATGTTTTCCAGGCAAACTCGATAGGGATTAGACGCAGCCAGTGAACGACACTTGCGTGGGCCAAATTGATGTAATCTATTAAAGACACCTTTTTACGCTATGATCCACATACCTTACAGTCTGAATCATTAAAAGGGTCTAGGGAGTATATCCGCTGGGCATTTTGCACCAAATATCACTAAACTGTCTTTGCAAAGTTCAGATCCTCTATTGAAGGCCATAAATTTTCGCTGATGATAAAATTGCCAAAATTGACTATGCTTTAAGGCAGGTGGGTGTTTATGCGCAATTACCGGACAACCGTAAAATAACATAAATTCAGGTGTTTCGTGTTGTTCCCATCAATCGTGTCATCACGCATTTCACCGCACCCGGTTCACACCATTGTCATTTATTGACTCTAATTTTGAATTGGTTGATCTGAATACGCTCAAATACTCTAGAAATGTTATTTTTGCCCTTAAAATGACTTCCTCTTGCTCTAATCGACTCCTAAGCCCTTTTGCTCTAATATGGACAATCAAAAAACACAAGTTTGTCCATTATGTTTACATTTCCGGTGTCACTGATCGTGAGTCGTGCATCTTCCCAGTCTTGCTCCACAATTTCCCAAACATATTCACTTCCCTAAACCCTATTTGAGGGGCTTGGAGGACAAGGCGCATAAGTGCAGTTTTGGAAAAAACTGAGATATTAACGATTTCAAGTTATACTAGTCTTAATGTATACTCTGTGAAAACTTCGCTCCAAAATTCCAATTTTTAAGTTCCAAAAAGTCAGTTTGAACTTTCTCGCCACCATAAGGATCCATGTAATTTTGAAACTTCAAACACGTATTTCTCGAAGAAGCAAAAGCTGTACTCGTGCGCCTTGTCCTTCAGGCCCCTCATTTTATCATGCAATACCCCAGACTCCGTTTATTTAACGAAGTTCATGGTACATAAAAGCTACTCATTAAAGTGCCTCTTTAGGGTGATGAGAAGCCTTATAAATGTTGTTTACGACGAGAATTCACTTTCCTTCGTCCAGACCCCTCTATTATAGTTAATGCCTCTAATTTGAAAAGCGGAGTCACCGACATCGTATCAAATCCTAAGGACTCGAAGAAAGGATTTAATTTCTCATTCGCCATTCTCTGCGAATGTGACACCTGCCTGACAAGGAAAGGTGTGCAAAAAAGGTGGCGGTGATTCAAGAGGCCGCACGAGTCCGTTGAATTTTTTTAGGGTTATCGGAGGTCATATGGCTTCGAGTGGTGTCAAATTTTTCGTTGACATGTTCCGGAGTTCAGCCTTACGGATGGTTGGAACGTGTTTGCGGGGAGGAGGTCATGTGATGACTATTCGCGGAGATGTAACCGTGTAGCAAGGGCGAGCATTGCAAGGTGGCAACGTCAGTGTTTCTCCATTTGAATGTGTGTAAAACAATCGATTCAAGGTGATGTAGCTAAAATCGATGTTTATAGTGCATTTAAATTATTGTAAAACACTGTTGCCGGTTCGTGTGAAACACAATAACCGCGTTGGAAACTCCGAGGACATTGAAGTATCAAGCACGGGTAAAAAGGAGCATGCAATTTCCGCGCAATTTTCTTTTTTTCCGTTGCAGCCTATTTTCCTGCACTTTTACCGATCAGTTCTAAAAAAATCGCGACTTGCATCAGAGACAGTTTGGCATTGCAGTAGAAAATGACACGGGCCGAACGGAGAAGTTCAATGGAAAAATTGAAATTAAGTTGCTAATCTTGGTTTCACAAGAAAAATGAAAACAAAATTCATCCAATGATACAAGGCCTACTTTCCTATCATTTCCCGCTAAAACTACAATTTCAAACTCTTGAGTGAGTCATTACAACATCGTTGCAGATAATGTGCTCTTTTTTTCAATAAGTACGAAAATAAAAATTTCAAAACATATGCGGAGCTCGGAGAAACAGAAATGTGTAAGGGGATATGAACTCTAGAATTAGTCCAGGCAAATAAGCCATGAAAGGGGCTATAGCCTGCAAAAATCCTGGGTAGCAATGTTTTCATCTATTCCTATGTAATTTTTGACGCTGAATCCGAATTTCAACTTTGCGCCATTAAATTCGGACCGGAAAGTTGCCAAATTTGGCAAAAATGGCCTAAAATCGGCCTTTTTTCCGGATTATGGCCTGTAACTTGCCAAAAATTGATCTGACGATAAAATTAGTTATTTTCAGAAATG